AGGTATTGGAAAAAAAAATAATAATAATTAAAAAAAGGAGGTGGGAAAAAGAAGGATAACACCTCAGCCTTCATTTATTTCTGTACAGATCTATTAAATTTTTCGGAGCATCAAAACATGTAAAAAATCGAGCTCTTGTCCGGGGGAAAGGATGTGATTCTTTATATTTTCAAAGAACACTAGAAGTCTATATGATCTTTAAAAACCACTTATGGATTTAACATAAAAAGTTCTAAAAATTATTCATAAGTTATTTTAAATAGCAGAAAAATTCAAACAATGGAAATAAATTCTTATTTAATTATGACAAATTAAAAGACGTCAATGTCTTTCACTTGCGGTCTTTCTTTTTACTTCCTTGTACGAAGTAAAAAGGAAGTATTATAATCGCGAAAAGTTTCAGGCAGCATATTTCAACGAAAATATCCATTTTGACCGCTATCGAATGCAATTTAACGATGTTTTTGCGTGACGATATGTACGTAAGGACAGAATAAAGGACTCCCTTTTCCTCCAAAAAATTATAAAACTGCTGTAAAATTAATTCTGAAGAGATTTTTTTCCATGGCGTCTGTACGATACCGTATATACGTATCTCGCATAACTCAAAAAACGAAGTAGCCTCAGAACGTTGAAATTTTGTACGTGGAACTGGTATAACATGTAGATGTGCACCTCCGTATTTTGGTTGTGCAATTGGCAGCACCAAAACGACTATATAAATATATTTATATATATATCCACTCTGTTATTCTAGCTTTATTATAGTATTTGAATAGAACATGTGGCAACGATTAGATAATTCTATTCTTTAAACGATATAAATTTTGTGCATTATGAATTATAATATGAACGAAATATAATACTGTTAAGTGAATCTAGCGCCAGAGTGTCGCTATGGTAAACAAATACTAGAGTGAATTTTAAAGAATGCATTTATTCTATTGTGGTTTATGCGCTGTCGGCGAAGTAGATTTAATTCAATCCAATAAGTTTAAATGAAATGCAAGAAAAAATACGTATAATTTAATATTTCGTACAAAGAAGGAAGTCATGTGGTGTACACATCAGATTTTTTATTTCCTATGACAGTGATTATGATCGTATCTGCAGTCTTTGAATTTCTGCAATATTATATCCAGTGTTTTTCTTCAAGCAAAAGGTTGCAACAATATTCTCAGATTTAGATCCCTCCTTGTTCTTTGAATTTTGCTAGCTCTGTCAACTCAACTATCAACTTGAGACTAACAAATATTCTTGATGGCCCATGAATTTGTCTTTGATGTAGTAAAAAGCAAGAACCTGCTGCGCTATGAGAACTTTGAATCCAAATTTTTTAATCAGAGAATGGTGTCTACCGCATTTTACACACAGATTTCTCAACATCATAATAAGTTTCTATGCAATTAGTTTTATAGGCAAACATGCTCGACGGATTTTTGGATTCCCACATTTATTCCAAAAGAATTCCCCTTCTTTCAATTATTATAAACTGAATTTAAAAGTAATCATTCTAGCCCCTGTCAATTCTGATTATGATACTAGTATCTTTGTAAATGAGCCATCTTTCAAAACAGAATAAGCAATTTATCAGATTATTACAATCATTCCGCCCACATTTTCAGTGAGACAGACATTTCAGATCTAGCATTTTCAGAAAAGGCTTTGCAGAAATATAGTTGATATTTCAAGCATGCAGTGATTAGGGTCGCCAAGTCCGCATACAATTCTTAACTCTTCAAAATTAAGCAATTAATACCTTACTTTTGGCTACAAACTTTACCAACTTAAACATCAGATTACCAGATATTATCTACGTTTTGCACTTAGGCAGCTGAGGCAGATGGTTCTATAATTAAACTATAGAAACTAGTTCAGCAAAATTTACAAATATAACGCCGATTCTTATTGTTCGACTTCTCCAATAACATATTACCTATGTTTACATGCATTGAATGCTGCATTCTTAAATTAAAATCTGCTAGGCAAAAGAAAATTTTACTGACATGGAAAATCCATCTGTAATGCTGCCATGTCCATAGAATAAGCTAAGACTGTCTGCTGACAAGAAGAATGTCAACTTCTCAATACAACATAACATTTTATCTTACAGGTTACAAAATGTTAGCAATGAAAAATGCAAACTTTATGACAAACGAAATATTTGAAGATTCTACAGAGCATAACAATCATTCAGCTTCTTCAATTGCATGGACTGTATTGTTTTGATAACAGCAAAGTACACTATGGTTATCTATCTATCAGAAGGGATACCTCTATGAAAGACTTCCTAAATGAAACTAATTTGTATTCACACCATACAAAACCACAAAAACTTCCATGCAGTTAGCCCGTTTGCCAGGATTTGAACTCTGATCGAGCTACAGTGTTCACTCAGCCACTGCTAGGACACAAATGGCATGACATTGATTCTTAGAAGGAATGCAAGCATTTTATATGCAAATTATTGTATTAAGATCTGTAATGATGTGCATTACACAATGAAAACTAGCCAATGAAGATCATGTTTAATTACAAGGGCTGAGATTACTAGATTGATGAATTGTTCAAGAGGAGATGAATAGCATTGTTTGGAGCATTTTAAGCAGAGCTTGAGTTAACCTTAAGATTAGCAGTAAAGGCTGGCTGTAGAATTACTGCAATAGCACAATACTATGTAGTTCAATAGTAAGTTCATTTATTTATTTTTTTTTACTTTTTTTTTTTTTTTTTAATTTCAATCCACCAGTAGTAAAATGTGAAGTTTAAAAGAGTTAGTGTGCTAAAATGAGCAAAATTTTAACTTTTTATAAAAATTCATTCTTGTTTTATGGTAATAAATCATAGAATAGATTATAAAAATATCTATGTACACTTTATGCACTCATAACATACTTAACATTAAATTTTTTTTAGCATTTGTAGATTATATAATTTGACTGACAGATTTTTTTTTTCAAATGTTGTAAATCCTGCAAAAAAGTTTTAAACTTTAAAAGGTATTTCTATTGCCTTCTTAGCATGCCTTTGTGGTGTAATGGTCAGTACGCTCGGCGTGTATTCGAGAGGTCCAAGGTTCGAGTCCCAGCGAGGGCACTGCTCATTTTTCATGTCACCTGCTTCAAAATAACCTAATGTCTCTACAACATATTAAACGAAAAACAGCACATAAATGAAACCTTGTGATTGAATCCGTATTATTCAAGGGAAAACAGTATTTATAATTGCGACTCTTAGCAAAAATATATTTATTGTTAGTTATTATTCCTATTTATTTCCAACTTCCTGCTACAAATGACTGCATTCTTAACCAGTTATTTATATATTGGAGATTTGTTGCACTTAAATACCTCTCCGCAAACACGTTTTTTGAACATAAATGGTACTATTTAGGACAGGTTGAGTCAATTTACCAATTTCACCTGTAAATTCTTGCTGATGCTTGCAAGCTTATTGATGTTATAGTAAAAAAATACAGTAAATCTTGAAAAATTTTGTTGGACTAAAACAGTAAGACATTCATTAAAGTTTTGTGGAATACACTCCTTTAAAGAAACAGAGAATGGACATATTGGTACTAGTATCTATTGCTCCTATACTAGTATATTGGTACTAGTATCTATTCTCCTTTAAAGAAACAGAATGGACATATTGGTACTAGTATCATTGCCAACTGAAATATCTGAATGGATTTTTATTCAATTATGAGTGTTATCACCTTAATTGAAACTTGTAGACATTCAGTGCAGATTTCTCATCATATGAGGATCAACTAACAATGCAATGGTAAAATTGTGCTGGGATATTAATTACACTTTGCTCAACTAGCACACTCCACTAACCTCTTTCTTAATTTCCAGATTTATTTCCATGCATGCATCTAAGCTTTCCATTCTTTTATAAAATTTCCGATATGTGTCTTTATCTTAAATTTTTCACAGATAATGATTAGTTCTCTATTAACTTTTTTTAATAACCTCAAATTTTTCCTTCACTATAGCTATGATTATTTTCTCAATATGTTTTATTTCATCAAATCAGTAATAATGATAAAAATTGCTTTCACTTTAGTTAATCTATCATCCATAGCTCCTACTGCAATAGATGAATTCCAAGCGGCAAAGATCATACCTATTTCAATCTCTTCTCAGTTTTCCCATTCAATGCCATTCATTTGAGATAACATTTCTTATGCCTTCTTTTAATTTTAGCCTTAGTAAAAACTAAATGAATTCAACTAGCAAAATGACATCACTGAGAAATTACTGAAAAACTACAGAAGCAGATAGAAGTGATTATTGATAATATCAATTTTATTTCTTCTCAGAATTATCTATGATAATAGTTCTTAATATTGCTGTATGTTAAAGTGATACTTCACTATTCTTAAACTGAATCAAACCATAGATTTTCACTTGATTTCAGCTATTATTTACGCATTAAGTGAATTGAAAGTGTCACTTAGTTTACATGTCAGGGAAAAGAAATGCACATGAATCCTTACATGAAAATATAAATGTTTCTTTACCTTAATTTCTGTTTTGATACATGAATACATAAAAAAAAAAAAAAAAAAAAAAAAAAAAAAAAAAAAAAAAAAAAAAGCAATGAATCTGTTAATTGAACTATACTGACATATAAATAGTTTGCTTATTATGTCCACATACAAACAGACTGCTTATGCCTCACTCATGACATTTCAGAATCCTGAAGAATAAGAAAATTAATGGTTTATTACAAATAATTTCTTTATTTTATTAATCATTACTCATTTATCGCAGCTATGGTTATATGTTTAAAAGCAATACAATGCTGATTACATCTTGAACAATTGCATTACTCTTAGTCAAGTCTTCCTTAATTTAGCAGTCTACCTTTTAACAATTACGTGTAATTTTTTCATAACATTTTATATTAGGTATCAAATATTTTCTTCTCAAATTGAAAGCAATGTTTATATTTTCAAATAAAATAAACATACAAAAAATATTTTGACGAACAAATTTTATTTGTGACAAAATTACACATAGAAATTTATAAATAATTGACATAAAAGCCATCAAACATTGATAAAAAAAGGTTTAAAATTCAAATAAATTCACAACATATGTAAAATTACAATGCAGGGCAATAACAACTAGATTTTTTTCAACTGACTTGCAGCAGCTTCCAAGACCTTTTCACTCGTACCTTAAAATATAAAATAATTTAAGGAATTTTGACTTTAAAATTCAATAAAAGTGAAAGAACAAGAATAAAACTTGAAGGTAATAAACAAATTAAAAAACACAAGTTTGTTGTTTTATTAAAAAAGCTGCATTAAAAATTCTGAAATTCGTTTTAAGAATTAATCAGTATTTTAGCTATATTATTTCTCACTTTAATCTGGAAGTGATGCTTTCAGATATTTTTAAATATCGAAATCCATCAAACTTTCATCACTTCTTGAAGCAAGACAAATAAAGAAACGGGGGTAGTTTTCGCAAAAAATTAATTCAAGATAATTTTTTCTCTTCATGGGTTACATATTTGTGTTAAAAACATAATGTATATGATATTATACAACACAATGACATCCTTCAACTCCACTTCTCATCTAGTTTAATAATTTTGAGGATGAAAACAGATTAAAGACTTGGCAACTTCATTATCTCCATTGCAAAAGAGTGATCAATTTAAGATGTTTAATAAGTATCAGTATTCTACAATGTTTAACGAGTATCAGATGTTTTAATAAGTATCTGTACTAACTCAACCTCAATTATTTTCTAAAAGATTATATGTTGGTCGAAGAAATATAAATTTTTGCAGTATAAAATATTTCTATTCATGAAACTTATCTGTTTCTATAAATGGAATGCTGAACAGTGTTCTACTAAACTGTACTTTTTCAAAGATTTTTGTTAATGATACATTAAAAAACTTCAACACATACATGAGTTGAATAATGATTTATTTATTATTTTGTTATCCCATTTTTCCAGTTTCCGAAAAATATATGTCTTTAAATTTTAAAAATTTGATAGTAAAAAAATGAACATACATATCATTTAAATCAATCTATTTATCAATATTTAAATCTTTACATTTTTTTATATATTGTGCACCACTAAATTTCTTTTAAGAGTTTTACATAAAAGATATGTAAATTTATATTTAAAGAAGTATTAAAACATTATATGAAAAATATTGCATCAAATTTTTATACTTTTATAGTTTCCATTCAATATTAAAAGAACAAAATATACAAAATGGACTAGATGGATTACATAATAAATATTGAGGAATTGCCATGCAAATTATTTCATGCAAACAATTCAAACAATTAATTACATAGCTAAAGATGGACTTGCCAGTTTAACATGCATATTCTTTACCAATATTAACAAAATGACATTATGAGTGAATTAATAACTTTGCTATTACAGTGAATGAGCAGTGCATTGAAATGGAACATAGAACCATACTCAGTAAAATTTTGACTGTGTTGAGACTAATTTGTGTAACAGATGGCAGCACTTGTCACACTAATTTTTTAATTCTGTAACTGACCCTGTACTGTCTGTTAGAATGAAAGGCCTGCACATTAGAATGAACTGTGATGTAGTATAAGTTTGTACAAGGAGAAAAGTGTAATAAATGTAAATACCATTTTTGTAAATTCTTTTCTGAACTAATTAGACATGTACAGACCTGAGTAGTTCTTTTGTTTTTAATTGCCGTCCACAAAAAGATACACTAATAAAGTAAACAATTTTGTTTGTTTTGGAAATGAATATAGAGGGGTTAAAATTAAAACAAATTCCACTGCGCACAGCCTTTATGAACACTGCTGTTTTAGAATTAGACTTGGATATTCTAGTAGATAAAGAAACCATGTACAACAATTAGATGATGTAATACTTGACCTTCTATCAAAACCCAAAGCTTTGCAAGAAGAGTATATTTAATTTGTGATTAAGTGAGGCTTACAAGGAGAAGCTGATGAGCACTAAATCAAAAGCGTAGCAATTTACATTGAAACAGGAAATAAATTTGCTGATGCATTGATCTGTGAATGAAACCAGGACTACTGTTTCAAGAGTAATGTCAGTGAGTTTGAAGTTTTCAAAAATTAATTTGATCGAGTTTGACAGTGATCCCAGAGAATGGCTCAACTTCTGGAGTAATTTCAGCAAGATACAGGAAGATCCAGTTCTAGATGATCATTTGAAATTTGTGTATTTAATATAAGTCACCTCATCAAAGTCAGAAGTGCAAGAAACGATTCAAAATTAGCCCATGATGAATGAAAATAAAATTACTGAATGTTTAAAGAGTGGAGAGCTCTTTAAACATTCAACAATTGTTCCACAATGAGTAGCATTGGCCGACAGGATATTCCGTTTACATTCTAGTTTACATTCACAATCTATTGAATGTGTTAATAAATAATAATAATGCAACAAAGACTTCAGCCTATCTTCCTTATATGACAGTTTAGTAATAAAATTGCATGCTCTGAAATCTCTCCTATACAGAAAATAAATGAACTATTGTTATTTTTCCAATGATGAAATCATGCCTTTCCCCCCTCTCTGATATTTTGTGTATTTGGAAATGAGAATGGAAGAGTTCTTGTCATAAAGGAAGGAAGATCTCGAATCTATTCTTTCGTTTTTGAAAATAAAGCTATATCTGAGGAAAGAATTAAATTAGAGCATTTTTCTTGTAATAAAGCATAAAATCTTCCAAAAATTGTGTTTGTAATGAGTCTAATGTTCATACATATAACAATTTGTATATAAGATATAAATTTAAAGAGAAGGCTCCAGTTAAACTGTTTCAGGTTTCATGCATGTTTTGGGATAATCACATTCAATAGATAAACTTTTAAAACTAGTGTGTTTATATATCACAATAAAAAAAGAGATTCAGTTAAGAAGGGAGCAAGTATAATATACTTAAAAAGAAATCATACTTCTCATAAATGTAAATCAAAAGTTAAATGTTTAATCTATGGGGAAAGGGTAGTGGTAATGTGATAACAATTTCCTTCCTATTAAAGGAGAACAAACAAACCACTTTGGTAGAAGCAAAAAACAATGTCATTGTTTTGACTAGCTGAGTCATGAACTTGTATATTTTATCACAGATGTTGTTCATCAGAATAAAAAATGGGAATCGGGTAAAAATCATAAGAGAGATTATTGACACAGTCTGTGTGCAAAGTTATTTTGAATTGCAAAAGTATTGAAGTAAAATTAATTCATAAGTTATTAGGAGAGATAGAAATAAATGAAGAATTGCATTCTAAGTATACAGTACTTTTGAGTAGCATTGATAATAAATATGAATGTGCATTGTTTAAGTGAATCAGTCATTTGCTCTGATGTAAAGAAAAAATCTAAAGGTCCTTGGTTAAGAGAACCAAGTAAATATCATATCATTGTGTTGGATATAGAGAAAGACACTCCCAAAATCAAAAGTGACATTAAATTGCTGATAGGTTCTGATATCACAGTAAAATTATTTACAGAAATATTAAATGTTTACAAAGTAGTCTGGTCACAATGCAGACACATTTATCATGAGTAAGATTATAGGGAAGGAAACCTCTAATGTAAATGATTCTCTTGCATATGTTTCTTAGTTTATAAGCAAAAGATTGGCAGAAAATTTCTGGAAGTGCGATGTCATCGGTATAAATGCCCGGTTGAGTCTAAAATGAAAGCTGAAATTCATGAGAACACCAAGCAGTATTCTGAGGAACACTTAAAGCTAGATTTACACATGAGATAATAACTTGCATTACTTTGGAGAACACCTCTCAATTATTTGATAATAAAGAGTTGGCAGAAAAATATTTGACTAATACAATAAGGAAATTAATAGATTTGAATCAAATTACAGTTTATGGGAAGCATTTGATACTTATTTGAAGGAGCAAATTATTGAAGAGGTTACAGAAGGAAAAGTATGTAAAGGGCTCTAGATGCCTCATAGGCCAGTGTTTAAAGAATGTAGCAAAACTACGAGACTAAAGGCCTCATTCAATTGAAACATTTAGTGATCGTTAGTCATGATACGTCATCAGTTGCGACTGATTTTGCTGTTTTGGTATTCAATTGAAACACAACGATCACTCTGAGCTCGTAATCGATCGTTCTTGTAGCAATCATTCTGAACCCATCATTCCGCAGTGAAAAATGATCGATTCAATATGGGGGCTGTGTTGCTTGTGCTTTCATGAGGACAGACTTCAAGTGTGCTAAGGAAAATGCTTTAGATCTACTGAGTGAGCAGCAATTTATATCACAGTATAGGGTGTATAAGGATCTTAGCAAGGGGAACCAACTTCATCATCTGTGTTGTATCCAAATTAAGGGCACTTGTTACAAGTGGACATTGATTTAGCGTTGTGTTGTTTCCATTTGTGTTGATGGATTGTGACCTAATTCTGAGAAATATGCGTGGATGCACTGCATCAAATTATTCATATCATTCTGGAAATAACTTTAGTATGCTCTGTTCTCCGAGAAATGAAGAAATACGAAGAAAATGGGTAATTAATTCTTGTCCATTGGAATGGATTCCGAGCACAAGAAGCACTTCCCTTTTGAAGTAAGTTCAGCTTCGTATGTTTTCATAATTGTTAAAAAAAAATAAGTGTTCATGTTTCAGCGAAATGTGTATTTATTACTAATTAATGACAAATTGATTTATATGTACAAAATGAATATCAGAATGTATCTGTATAGTCTTTATCGCGAACGGATAAAGTTTAAATAATTATATTTTACATTTGATTTCAATTTTGTGTGTGATTATAACTATGAAGTGCACTTTTATTTAAATTTTAATGCGGGATTCATGGTTTAAAATTGTATGTTATTTTTTTACCCTATTATATTGTCGCCAAATCTGTCAGTTGACCCCCAATGTAAAAAAAAATGTAAACGTAGGATAATATGATTAAAATTATGCATTATATAATGTTTCCCTTAAAGTAACATAAATATATAGTATTTATATTCATTTTGAAGAAGGTAAGCATCAATTTAGGTATTTAATGAATAATTTTGACCGTATTTTATACATCATGTAGACTACATTTGCAGCTCTTTCATTTAACTGAAATTTCTGTCAATTCATTTCCAATGTACTAACATAAAATATGTTTTAAAATGCTGTACAAGTTTAGTCACTCATTCTTAATTTAATTCAGACATTTTTTCTTAATGTGTAATTAAAATAATTTAATAATATATGTTACTGTAATTTACTACTTTTGATTTTAATGTTTTCAGAAATTTGCTAAATCAAGTTTATTTTTGTGTGACCTTGCATCAGAGGTGCCAATAATAAATCTGTTTTGGCATTCACTGCTAAATTTTTTAATGAAAAACTTATTAATGTAAAAGAATGAAAAAATTATATTTACTTCCTAATTAGTGTCTTATGATATTGCAATAACTTAAAAGGCTTCTTATTGTTTCTTAAGTTACACAACTTGTTTTAATATTTTTTGTCATCTTTATGTTTTACTCTTCTATGTTATCAAATAAATATAAAAGGTATGTTTCTAATTAAAAATTCTTCCTTTCATAGCTGTGTTATATACCCTGATGTGATATGTGTTGGCATTTATTATATAGTTATAAACATTATTCATTATAGAGTTTTATGTATTTATTAAATATATGTAATTTACATCATTATGTATTATATAAATTTCCTTTTAGAATATATTACATTGTATTTTTTGAGTTGTTAAATGAACTAGGTACATTTTTCTTTTCTTTTCCTTTAAAAGGTCTTTTGAATCACTTTTTTTCAGTATGCATGTAAAACTTACTTGACCTATATTTTTCACATATATGTGAATGGAATGTTTCTTTTAGGTTAGCTGTTTTCATAAAGGAATAAAAATAAAATGATGCCCTTTGAAGACTTTTCATGGATGAAACTTTGAAACACTAGCGCTGAAAAGCCAAAGAGGGCACACCAAACTTGAACTGCAACCCTAAAGAATGGATACGAGGAGTCAGCCTGCACATTTAGTAGCTCTATCATTGGTTATTTCGAAACCAACGCAACTTCCAACCTCGTGATAAACAGCATCACGCATTAAGTAACCTCTGGCAACCCATACGAGTTCATCTGGGAGGGAAGTGTTTCAAATGAATACGTAAAATCACTCATTTTCAAAGGTGACCGCTAATGCTGGATGCAATGATCGCTGTTTGAGCGATCATTGCTATTTCAATTGAATGAGGCCTTAAGACTGTTTTTTGATGCTTCAGTACATGGCAAAGAACTTTCCTTACATAAATGTCTGGAGAAAGGTCCTAACCTGATTGAAATAATTCCAACATAGTAATATCATTTTAGGAAATATCCTATTGCAGTAATTTCTGACAATGAGAAAGCCTTCTTGCACATAGGTATACAACAGGTGGAAATTATCTATGTTTCTTATGGAAAGGTGCAGAAGAACAGAAAATGAAAATTTATAGGCTTTGTCATTTGGTTTTTGGGCTTAATTGTAATCTGTTTTTGTTAGTTGCTACATTGAATTATGACTTAAATTATGCCCTGAAACAATTTGCAACTATGGCCAAAATTTTGAAAGAATCCTTCTATGTTGTTCATTGCCTGACCAGTTTTAAGAATGTTAAAGGATTAAACATCTCTGCACTAGAATCAAAAATGTTATTGTCATTGGCAAAGTTTAATCTTAGATGATGGCAGTCAAATTGTGAAAATGAAAATAATCTCAAACTCAAAACTAGAAATGCTCATTTGCATTTTGGGGTTACACTGGGATTTAAAGGATGACATGCTTTCCTGTAAAATTGAGTCATAAAAGAAAAACGAGATTATTGCCCGAAAATTTCGAAAAGGAGTCCACGAAGAAGGTAAAAGAACTAGAGGTGTTGTCTGATGTCAAAATTCCTAAATGGTTTAATTGGTGATAGATTGGTTAATGAAGAAGTTAGTCTCCGTGTTTTCAGCGATGCCAGTAAGCATGGCCATGCTACCTGTATTTTTTTAAGAGTGAAGATTGAGAATCAGGTTTAGCTAAATTTTGTACATGCACATACTAGAGTTGAGCCTTTAAAGAATGTGTCCATCCCTTGTTTGGAATTATTGTCCTTTGCTTAATCATACCATGATTGGAAAGTGCAGTCATTTCTGATTTGAATATACCAAATTTAAAAATATTTTATTGGACTGCATCGACAACCTTTTGTGCTGGATCAATCAAGACGTACAGTGGAGAACTTTTGTTTGAAATTGTGTCTAAGAAATCAGAACACTTTCAAAAATAGAAGAGAGACACTCCTCTTTGGAGATGAATGCAGCTGATGCCCTTCTAGATGTTCTTCAGTTAAACAGTTTTTGCAATCAAAAGGGTGGGAGGGATGAGCATGGCTGTTAAAACTAGAGCAGACATGGTCTAAAAGCACCAACTTGCCGGACGAAAAAGTCATTAATTCAGAAAAACATAAATCAGTATTGACAACTCTTAACAAAGATTCTATGCCTGACAACTGGTACTGTAGGTACTTTTCATCTGTAAAGAAAACTGCATACATGTTAGCTTGGATCTTAGATTTTACTTTAAATTATGAAAAAATACTAATTAAACCTTCAAAAATTTGCCACTTTCAGAAACTGAAAGAATTGAGGTGCTCTTTTGTTACTGGTTCAAAAGAAATCATTTAAGGTGTGAATGATGATAAAATTAAAGACCTTAGACAAAGTCATGGTGAATCTATCACATGCATGTCATAAGTTACACGCGGACCCATTTTCAGTGACAAGAGTTTCCAGAGTCCTTGACAGAGACACAAAATAGAGAAAAAAAAAAAAAAAACTCTCACAATAACCTTGTTATTGCCCATATAGGCTGAGCTTACCTTGAGTGCATTCTTGGCAGGTGGATGACTTTATATGTGACACAGCACCAGGCTTATATTAGAGTTTTCCTGAATTTTGGCATGCCAAGTTCAAAAGGTTTGTCAACTCTGCCTTAGACTACAGTTGATTGTGATAATCTGATTAGAAGCCAAGACAAATATTGTTATTGATGATGTCAAGTTTCCTGTTATTTTGCCATGCAGTAAAATTACTAAATTTTGTCATGGAATTTCAGTAAATATTTTATTGCATTTTATTTTATATCTTCTAGTGTTTGTTTGAAGTATTACACACTGTACTATTAATAGATATATGAATTTACTTCCCAGTAAATTCAAGAGGGGATGTTAAAAATAATTTTATAATTTCCTTTGCAAACGACAGCACTTGTCAAGCTAATCTTTTATTTGCTGTGTCTTTTAACAGAGCATGCACATCAGAACCATGGTGCAGTGGTGTAGGAGAAAAGAAATATAATTAACATCAATACAATTTTTGTAAATGAAGTCTTTTCTTAACTAATGCAACATGCAGAAATACATACAGACTTTGAATATTTTTTCTTTAGCAGAGACCACATCAAGATGCATGGCATACTTCTAACTATTTGGATATTTGTTTACTATTATAAGTAAACAGAACAGAATTTTAACTTTTAAAACACAAGCATTACAGTTTTTTCAAATATACCTTAATATATTTCAATTTAAATGTGTAAATAAATAAATAAAGAGGCAGAAACATGACCACACAACAGCTATTGTGAGCACTTACTCATCATTCTCTTCACCAGAGCCTGCACCCCTTTTTCTCATGTATAGTGTGAGAAGTGTCTACAAGGGAAAACCGGAATTTGGACTGTTGAAAAAAGAATGGACGTTCGAGTTGGTTTTGATGTTTGGAAACAAACCAATTTCCAGAATAAATAACATGTAAATAAATAACATTGCATTCAAAGTCCAAACATGAAGATTTATTATTGAATAATTTTGACACACATCAATTTTACTTGCTCTCCTAACTGATTTATTGTGAAGACTGACTGATACCTATTGATATTAAGTGGTGCTCTGACTACGGGACTTATAGATTGGAATTCAATTATTGGGAAAAAGTGGATTTTTAAATCAGGAAGTATCTTCAATAAAGCTTGGGAGTAGGTCAGTACAAATATCCCTTAAATTTTTGACAATGGAAGAAACTCTATAGAAAAGTGGTGTTCTGCACACAAATTGCTTCTACAAAATTATTCTAAAAATATTGCAAATTCTTCAAGTAAACAAGATTGCTTAATTGATATTTTAAAACTGGCACAATTAAATGTTAAAGAATGCCACTCTGAAAGAATCAAATACTGACATTGAAAGTCAGATTAAAGAAAGATGAAATTGAAAGTGAAATTCTGAATGACACAGAATATGAAGTAACAATTATTTTCTTTAAAAAAAAACTGAATAGATGTATTAAACAATTAAACACTGCTAATTATTCAATTATTAGCATATATTAGCAATAATTATACATCTCTAAGCACAATTCCCAACATTTCGAATAAAAAAAAAAAAGCAGCCAAATAGTCCAAATTAGTTATAAACAAATCTTGTAGAGAATCTGAAACTACTCAAATTTTGGAACCTATATGAGAAGGCAATCCATAATAATGCCTCCTTATCTGACACTGAAAAATTTGATTATATAAAGTCCTTATCAGGTGGAACAGCAGCCAATGCCATTAGCAGATTTAGCTCAACTGTAAAGAATCATGCTGCTGCCATAAAATTGTTATAGGAATGTTTTAAAAGGCAGGATATGCTTAAACATGCTCGTTTAAATAATTTGTTGAATATCAGTGCTATAAAAAATTCTGATGATATACACAGATTACATAATTTATATGACAAATGTTAAACATAATTTTGAAGTTAGGAGCACTCGTATTGTCATCAAATACATATTGTGGTTTGCTTTGCATCACATTATTGAAGTTGTTACCAGCTGTTTTAACATCAGAATTTAGACAGATTCAAAATAAAATCTTGAATGTTGCATTAGATATTCATGGAATAGAGATTATGCAACCTAGTTATCAAAATAGTAATAAATTTAATAAGAAAAGCAAATATATAGATAAAACCAAAAATTTGAGGATAAATCACATTCAAGACTGAATATTGGCACAGCTACAGAATTAATTTCATTGGGTGATGATATATTTGTGTATATTTTACACCTGTGAGCATAATGGTCAGATGTGCGAATTCAAAATTCACATCAAAGAACAGGATTATTGAAAACACAGAGTACATATTACTTGAGTTTAGAACTGTAACATAAAATTCAGTATTGGCCAAAGAATGACTCATGTGTTTTCTACTGAGGAAAATACTATATAACTCCATTACGAAAAAACAGAAGTCTAAAATCAAAAATACTAAGTTAAATAAAGCAGAAAATGCTATTTCAAATCATATTGCAAATGAAAAAATAATTAGTATATAAGCAATGCAGAATTAACAGGTCAAATATTAAATAAACATATTATTGAGCATATGTTTGCTCAATAATGGAAGACAGCATCTTTTATTAAATGGAAGGTAGTCTGATTGTTTAGAGAATTATTTATTCATAATTTTGTATCAAAGCAGCCAAACATCAGATTCTGTCCAGTTGACAAAAATGTCAGCTAATAAAAAAAAAAAAAAACCATTTTGAATAGAAGGGAGTCAACTATATATGCATTAAAAATCGACAAAGTGTCAAATGCAGCTCTTGAATCACCTGTGAAGATTTTTGACTTTTTGACTACTGAAGTCCAGAAGAACTGCCTTAACAGGAATTCAACATTTAATAAAAATACGTCACTGCTACGTACAGAACAGTAATCTTCTCCATTGCAGTTTTCCAATGATTATTGGAAATCCATTTCCAATAATCATTGGAAAACTGTAATGGAGAAGATTCAGCAACTAAATTGTTCTTCAATGGCATTAGAAACAGAAATAGGATGCCTTTTGATGGAGAAACTATGCAGTAAGAATCAGAAGATACAAATTGAAAATCTTGTCACTTCTGCTTGCACCATGATGCTAATGTTGATTGAACACACAAACAGTAAAAACTTTGGAATTTTGATTTTTGGAACATTTAGGATACTGAACAAATTAAAAATTACCATGAAAAGGAACTAGCTGCCCTTGTTCATTGTAAAAGCATGGTTACTAGGCACGGTGATGGCCATTAGTTACGAAATTAGATTATCTTAGGTTGGAGAAATAGACTTAAACAAACAATTTAAACATAGCTAAACAACTATGCACAAACCCTGTAAAAAAACTGATTCGCCTACAGAAAACTGATGAATACAAAAATATTTTTTTTTTAGTGTAAAATAAAAAAGCAACTCAAGGTTCTGTGTTAAAAACCCAAAAAAACATCCATTATCTACCACTCTCAAAAAAAAAAAAAAAAAAAAAAAAAGTTGTTTTAGACATTAAGTTTACTATTCTACAAGCTTTTTTTCAGATATCTATAGCCAAAAACGATTACAATTTTCTGTGTAATTACTCTGCCTGGCAAAAATTCTTGACACTGATTTGTGCAAGAATCTTCTCAATTGTTAAATTACGCTTGTTTCTATTTGTAATGGTGGGAGCACACATTTGTAGAATCTGAAAATATATTATGCAAAGCTGTTTTTGTACTTGGAATAATATGGAATAAAAATGAAGACATGATGTTCTGCATTGTGAAGGATATTAAGCCTCAATTTGAAAACTTTACTAAAGGGAACATCTTGTCCATCTTATTTTGGCTGTCACACAATCTTATTTTGGCTGTCACACAATCTCTGAACTTAGAAAAAATCCCAAACTATTACTAGACCAAATCTCCTATAGCACTTGCAAGGATATAGGCACAGGTAGAAGTGGAAGGAACAGCAGAATTTCACCATTGGTCGTACAAGTATAGTCAAGACATTCTTTGCGGAGTATTTGTACAAAATAGAATTGATGAAATGCAGTCATTATCTTCAAGAAGCAGTTGGAAACAAGTGCCTGGAGATCTCAACCCAGCTGACTCACCTTCTTGTAGGCATCTCATAAAAATTTTGCTGAAATTTGAATGGTGGCAAAGTTCAGAATGGTTGAGGAAAAATATTCTAAAGTAAAGGTGATGTCTAGAAAAGGTATTCTTTCCAATTTTGCTTGCATGCTTGTAAAAGAAAAGTTGTACTTCAGGTATTTTTCAAGATACTCTCTTGGATGTTGCACTTTATGTGAAATTGGAAATAAAAAGAAAGAAATTTAAGGAGAATTGACAAAAAAGAATTAGAAGTGGCAGAAAAGATATTATCGAAGATTGTTCAGTTTGACTCATTAAAGGGAAACACTTACCTCAAAGGATTTTACAACTTTCTTGATAAAAATGGAAAAGCTCATTAGAAGGGATGATGAAGAAAATTTTTGATGCCGTATAGTTTTATCATTGAAGTATGAACTGACAAACAGACTGATCTTTGGGTATCACATACACGCTGGTGCCATTTCTACAGTACATTTTCACAAATCTTTGAAAGAAACTTTGAATTTTAAGAGAAAGGAAAAGGAAATCTGTTAGCAGAGTGTTATAAAAATGCATTTGTTGTAGAAGATATAAAGCCTACTACTCTCCATGAAGATAAAATTTAAAATATGTTAGGTTTTAAAGTTACAGGAGTTGATGCATCTGGTTCATTACATTTAAAGAAAGGGAAGAAAGTTTGGATTTTACCATTCATGTATGCAGTGTATTGTAGCGTTTTATTTAGAACTGTTAGAAAATTTGTTTACCAATGGTTTTCTTCTAAGGTTTAGAAAGTGTTTAGGATTTAGAGGGTTTTAAGAAGAAGGCATACAGAAACTGCCCACAGTTACAATGGAAATAATTTAAGGTGGAAATCTAGAGATCTATTGATTGAAGTCAAATCCATTGCAGCACATCTACTGTGAGAATTCAGTGGAAATAACATCCCCCACCCCAAAACACAGTTTGGTAGGAGATTGGTGGGAGAGATTGCACAAATAATAGAAAGATTATTGAGAAGAGTTCTTGATAAAGCCTGTTAGACATATGAAGAGTTGTTAGCTATACTTTGAGACACAGAAACTGTTGTCAATGTCTAAGCTCTGACATACTTGTCAGAAGATTTAGATGTCATTGCACCATTATCATATTCAGTATTTATTCAAGACCTGCAGATAAAGAATTCCTCATTTAGAGAGATCAAGCCAAGTTAGTACATTGAAGAAATGGAAATATCATCAAAGACTAAGACAAAATAAAAAAAGATTTTGTCATGAGTACCTTAGTGTTTTACTGTAGCAACCACATAAGAAAATCTTACATGATAGGTCTCAAGAAAGATGTTTAGTCCTTGAGATAAATGATAATAAAATGCAGACTGACTGGCCTGTGGGTCGAATTGCAGAAATGTAATCTGACCAAGAAAGAAAAGTTCAAGTCAGTAGAAATTTTGTTGCATCTGTCTTTTAACCATTCAACTCGTATAAGGATTAACTAAGTATAATCTTCAATATTCAGAATTGTTTCGATTTTCCTCAAAAATCAAAATGTTGGAGGATTGCTTTCCAATTGACTTGAACTATCTCATACCCTTCAACAACAGCTAATAAATTAATAACTTACCTCCTTCATTTGAGACTCGCTCAAATTCCCGCATAGAAGCAGTTGAATGATGCTGCAGAAAATCCATTTCTGCTGGACTTAAATCCTCTCCTAGTTTTTTTAAAGCAAAAAGTATCTCAATCTTTTGTTGATATGCAATATCTTTGGATAATTTTCCTATTTTTGCATCCCGCTCTAACTGTAAATGAGAAAATTCTAAAATATAGCTATGAAAAAATTTTTATATCATACTTTTATATTGTTACTTTGAATTAAAATGCATTTACTTAGATTTTAGTTTCCAGTTGTTTAATATCATACATACCAAAAATAACATTCAGATTCTTTTAAGGCATTTAGAAGAGAAAACTCTAGCCACAATAAAAGAAATACAACAGATACATATGTTGAAATTAAACTTCAAGTTTCTTTTAAATAGATAGTATGATTACTAAAAAAGGCAAGCCATTTCTGTCATTATCAAATCAATCAGAATAAACATGATTATAAAAATTGATGTTGTTATTGTTAAGCATTATGAAACTATAAAATTTCAAATAATGATTAAAAAAAACTGATGCACAGATGGGGAGTAGGCACCAAGTTAGGTATCACATATAACTCCGTTAGGTATCACATATAACTCCTAATAACATATAACACTATAACATATCAATAAATTTCAAAATGGCAGAAAACAAACATTTAACAATATTTTCTTAAGAGTTTGTTTCATGTTCTTTCCCTCTTTCTCTTTTTATTTGTTTATTTATATTTATCTTAAATTCTAGAGAAATCACAAAAAACCCAAGACAGATTCTTGTTGCAGATATTATTAGAACACAACCTTCATCATCATAGATTTTATGCTAATTTAGTTGTTAGTGCTATTCTATTCAAAATAGTTTAATTAATTACACTGTAAAGAATATCACAAAATTATGCATCAAAATAATGAAATACTCCAGATTTACCAACAAAACACTGTAAGAATTGTCAAAGAAATGTAACTGTACAACAAGCAAAGACTAATATAGGATATAGAATTTAAATGTTTCAAGTTACTAAAACTGCAGAATTATATCTGAGAATCAACCTCTTCAACCATATAAAATTTACATACATCTCCAGAATAATTTTAATTTGCTTTTAAGTTAAAAATTTAGAAAACATTTATAAATAAAACTTTTCTCTACAAAAGATGCTTTACAATGCATGCAAGAGTAACATAATTCAACTCATTTCCTGCCTCCTGCCCTCCTCTCCCATCCAAAAAAATCAACATAGAACTTATTCGATGCTTTATTTTACACAAAAAGGAAATGTAATTTATTTTGTATCATATGACACACACACAAACATATATGTATTCGAAGTTTTGAAATGCTGCAAAAATGAATCAGCACAATCCCTTGCACACAGTCAGTTTTGTTTGTGAAAGGTCTGTGAAACACTTCACATAGAATGAAATTTTTTATTTGTTGTGTATGGTTGTTGCCTGACTGCTATAATTTATATATTATTTCATTTTACTTTTAATAATTTTCTTAATTATATGGCCTACTTTAACTGTTTTAATAGCTTTCAGAGTTTGGATTTGCATGTAAGGAAATCATCTTGTTTCCATTTCATAATGTGAATTTCACTTATTCAAAACTGGTCTAAAGAGCTCAAGATTTCAAAAGCAATATGGCTACCATTATCTAAAATTCTATAGGCACTTTTTGAGGTAAACTGCAATACTGTAGGGATTCTATGTATTTGCCTTATCTAAATGAATAAAATATCTAAAATAGAGGCCGTCACCAGCAACGTTCATATTTCTACTTCCATTCACTATCATTTGCAGATATGGAATTGTGATGATTTTTTTACAATTCTATAACATTTTAGAAGTAAAGAAATGAAAAATTTTAATTTACTGCTTGGTTAGTGTAATTTTTACTCTTCAACTGTACGTTCAAATAGCTATTTACCGAACATCTGCAGAAACATTAGGCTGAATTAATTTTCTGTCAATAAATCTTTTTTCTCATATTCTATAACAGACGGTGCTAAATGAGAGTATTTGTTTATTTAATTAAATATGTCAAAGCATACAAGGGCTATGATTATTTTCCTAAGGGAAATAATGCATTCTTGAACAGCTTTCTTTATAAGGGAAACATGCTTATATTCATGAGAAAAATCTGAAACCCCCCCTGCAGTCATTCCTTTCACTATGATTTAAATTTAAGTAAAACTACAAGTGTTCAGCAGTTTGTCCTCTCAACCAGCTGATAAGATTTAATCAAAACTCATGATAATGATTTTTCCAGTTTGGAAGCATTTTGCACCTTTTAATCTTTGACGGAAGGTATTTCTCTCTGCTTTTTCATTGAACATACTTCTAACTTTCCAGCAACATCTTTAGACAAAGTTGCATTACTGCATAGTGTACCACCATAGACATATTTTTACTTCAGAAGTCGTGTGATAACTACAACTTCTTCATATGGCCTCTCCAATGGTTGAGTGGTTAAAGACTACTGAATACTAGTATGGTGGCACCTTTGTATACATCCACTTTCAACTTGGTATATACATAGCATATTTTTAAAGTAAGGGCTGGTTTGTTGTATACAGTAATATGAGTTGTGCACTTGGCAACGAGCGCTTGTGTCCTGTTCTGGCATCCTTTGGAAACAACTGTGCTCAGTTGAAGCTGGGCAGGTAACTTGTATGGTCTGTCCAGCACTTAGTTATTTATACTGTGTGCTGAATACAATGGTGTTTATGATTTGACAAAAAAAGAAGATGCTATTAAGTTGGCTAACTCTGCAAAGGGGAAAATTAGTTAAGTTTGATTTTCTTAGTACTCTTGAGTTCAAGTCCAAGTGGAGGCTTTTCTGTACGTCCTGAGAAAGAGGTTATCTGTTAATTCTTATTTTGAGCAATAAAGGGTAATGAACTCTTCTTGAGTCTACGTTTCTGTTTCCTGAACTAAAGCGATATTCGCTTACCAGTTCTCAAAGTTCCACACACACAGCTGCAAATTCAAGGTTGGAACCCTGTAACTTCATTTAAAGGCAGAACAACAACGCACTAGTACAAAACTAGTTGTACTGCCCTATTTGCTTTCTTCTCAGATAACAGACCACTTAGTTTCTGAAATGTAGTGAGCCTTTTAGTAGAACTAAATACTAAACTAAAGCAGAATTTTGACAGTTGTAAAAAATAAAAAAAAATAACTCATGTGTTGAATCATTATCATTATTTTTAATTATGTTTCTCACATTTATACTAACACACTATTGATTTATAATAACAAGGGTAACCACCGTGAGGGTTGCAAGCTGTGTGCAACTCTCGCAGATAAACAGTGCGACTCATATGCAAATAAAATATATGTATGAAATACGGTAAAATAAAACTACTTAATATCAAAAATAAAGTAACTTGTTTATTTAATTTCTTTTTACAAAGTAAACATAAACTGAATAACATCTAAATGTAATTATTTTATTTAACTTCTTGTTAGTTAAAAAACTTAATAATGTTATTCAACATAAAATAAATAATTAAAAATAAAAATATTGTACTGAATCTATCAAACAATTCTGCTATGAAAATCTTTAAAAGTTGGATTTGCTTGTGGATGCTTTGGATGCACGCTTGCTTGTGGATCTATCCATCCAATTGTAAGGATCTGTTAAAATCTCTGAATCATTAGTAGTGGTATAAACTAAATCAGAACAGAAATTCATGTAATGCAGAAATATAAGAGGAACAGAAAATCATGCAATGCATCAAGGTTTCCAGTTGCGTCTGGTGTAATGCATCATGGTTCATGGTTAATATCATACAGAATTTAACACAAGTTAGAAGTTGATTTGACGTCCAAAATCATGAGAAATTTGTGGCAATAAAAGCTTTGGGAATTTCTAATAAATTTAATGAAAGTCGTAGTCTACAGGATGATTTTGCTTTTAACAAATGTTGAGAATTGATAAAATTTGAGGGCTACAGATATGTGGCTTGCTTCTCATGGAACAAGCATGCAGAAGAATTAAAGGATAATTTAGAAATAGCACAAAAACGATTTGAGTTGCTGTGATGTGGATTTTAGAAGAATTCAAAGTTTCCTGATCATTCAAGCTGTGACAGATCAACATTTACAAGAAGATATGATGGAAGAATTGGGGTACCTAAAAACTGAAAAACAGTACTTTTCATCATATCAAGCTGCAATATGAGAAAACAAAGACATCACAAGCCTTTGTTATCTTTGACACATCATTATGTGCAGGAAAACGTCAATAACTGCTTCAGGTTAAGGACCGAATGCAGCCGGGCATAAAAACTAGCATATTATGGATGCACACGATGGATTCTTTGCAATAAATTTGCCAGAACATCCTTCCATGTGTTAGCATTCATTATTTCTCTTTCAGGTTAACATCTTTACTTTTTCAATGTTTTCATCACTACAGGAAATTGCAGGCCTTGCAGTTTGAGCAGCATTTTGAGTGGAATTCCATCCATATTGAAAATGTTTAAACCATTCATAAATACATTTTAAAGAAATGGTTTTATTTTCATTTACTTGTTTCATAATGTCATCACTTTGTTTTACAGATTTACCAAACTTGAAACACAGTCTTAAATTTATTTACTGCTTCATGGAGTGTTATTAACACAAATCCACAATGCCTATTCCTAGGCCTGTCTAAACATGTTATGGAGTATTTTTTCCATGTTTCTTATTTGCAAACTACTGCACATACACATCCTATAGCATCATTCTCTGAACTTTATTGTCATAACTTAATTTATCTACAAATGTATGCATATAATCACCTGATTAAGAAAACACAAACATGACAAACAGAATAAAAAGCAGAAAGGAACTAGTAGAAATGAACTGAAGAAGCTGTAAAAATAAAATAGTGACAGCACTATTTTGTTTTTCAGCAATTTTGTTCAAGCCCTTAAACTGAAGTAACATCATTCTAATAACTCATTTAGCTAATGAAATGCTTAATAAATCAAATCATTATTAGTTGGAATATGATTAACAACTACTCTACCATAGAATGAATCAACATTCAGCAAACAAACAGAGCTGAAAACAAATTTTCTAATATTGATTTATCCTGATTCATATTCTTCATTAAATATGAGAAAAAAATGCTAATTATAAATATTTTATGGCTTTAC